AATCACTTCACAGCAGGGCATTTTGAAACCCTTTGTAAACTTTAGATCTTCCCATTTCAGAAATTGACAGAAGGCAGGAAGGTCACTTAGACTTCAGCTGTGGGCATTAGCCACAATATAGTTTTCAGTGTAAACAGTGATTTCTTTTTCTGTGATTCTTTTTAAATACCCCACAATGTGAATTTGTTCCATTTGCATCTGAGAGTTTGACAGCTTTGCTTTTTGTATTAAAGAGGATGAACATCTATCATAATTTCAAAGTCACATATGTAGGAAACTGTTTTAGAGTTAAAAAATGTTTATGCTAATACAAGTGTGATTCTTGATCTGCAGAAATACTGATTGACAGGGAAACCTAATTTGGAGCACTTTTAGAATAGGACACAGAAAAAGAACAGAATTGTCATACTTTCAATAACATTTTTTAATATCTTTGATTTGTCATAATCCAAAATTTTATTTTTTGTTTCTTCACATGATTATTGGATTTGTCACATGTTCACAAGAAAAGTGTCCTGCAGTATGTAATATTGTATCCATATTTTTCTCACTAGGATTAAGTAGCCTTATGTGGACAGTGCACCTGAGACAAAGGTTTGACTCAGCTGCTGAGCTGTTTGAAAAAGTTGGTAAAATTCCTAAGGAGTGCCTCTGTAGGCAGAATACTGGAATGTCTAACCTGGAGATGCCTCTGTTTTTTAACATGTGTGTGGACTTCTTGGATGTTTTTATGGAAGTAAATATGGAAGCAAGGATTTTAAACAGTGAAATGTTGGAATATACATTAGTAAAGCACTTCAGTATGAAATTTAGTGGAAATTCATTAAGTAATTTAGTTGTTACATGTGTACAGATGCACAGAACAATTTTAAAAGTTGCTACACACAAATCAGGGTGCATCTAAAAAAAGGCGAGGATTACAGTGCTCCTCTCAACATATACTCTTTAATTAGAATATTAGCTTCTCAAACATTGTTTAAGAAGTGTTAAGTAATAATGAAATACCAACATTATTTACTATTTTATTAAATATAAACATTCCTATAGTTCTTGGATCTGTGTTCTTGAAGCTGTAGTTGTATGTAATGTTCAATATATATGACAGCATGAAAATTGTAATTAGAAAGGTCATGTGAATCTATGTAACAGATAATGCTAACCTAAATTAGACTAACATAGTAATAAATCATACATCTGAAGTTAAGTATTTATATACAAAATTCATTTGGCTAAAATAGATATGAAACTCTATGTGAGATTTCAGGTTTTATGGCAGCAGGCAGGTTTGAAGATGATTATCTTCTGGGTTGTTGCAGCTTATAGTCTGGTAGGGGTTCACAAACATTTCAGAGGCAGCAAATACCTCTGAAGAACTTTTACCAGATTACATGGCACAAGAACCGAAAAGACAAGTCATCCATATGAAATTGTGTGATTGACTTGTAAATAAGCTAAATATAATACATAGCTTTGTTAAGTGGGAAAGGAATTAATGATTTTTGCATAATTTTGAAATCATTGATTGAATGTGTTTCTTACTTGCAGTAAAAATTTGTAGCTTTATTTTTGCAAATTTATAATATCTTTTTGGTTTATCATAATAGTTTTTATCACATATGATATTATTTAAATTTCACAGTTCTGTCAAAAAAGTAAATGTGTGTTATTCTAGCAACATTTGACAGAAATGTAATGAATCACAAGTTATTTATGACATGAAGTGGTTGACTATATTTGTGTACTTGTAAGTTTTCTTTTTGAATTATGAATCACAAAGAATATATATTGAAAAGTACTGTAGTATTTTAAGGAAGGTTGTGTCTTTCTGCATGTGTATGCAAGTTTCATCTATGAAACTACTGAACTGATTTTAATAAAAATCAGTCTTGGGATCTTTACTGATCACTTTCTTGTGAATTTAATTTTGGTTCAAATTAATGGGTATAGTTTCATAGCAGTTGATTGGTATCTACAGTGAGATATGTAAAATAATACGTTCCATTGCAGCTTGTATTTACACTCTTGATTTCTCAAGTGTTGGATTTTCTTTGCAACAGGCGACCATGGGTGCTGCTCAAGCTACGTTGGACATGAATCGATGTGAAGATCCCTGGAAGTGTGAAGGATCGGGTCCCCCGTCATTAGTTGAGTTGGCTGTTGTGCAGTCAGCAGCCAATTATGACTTGCTTCATCTTCATCACCAGTTGGCTGTTGCTTTGCATATGATGGCTTCCTTTATCTTGCGCTTCCCACACCCCATTTCATCTCTCTTTGATAACGTGGTATGTTTATAAATTTAAAATTTTGTAAGTATTCCTGAAAGCAGTGGTTCCCAAACTGTATCCAATATAAATAGGCAAACAAACAACTATTAACACTAAAAGCGATAGGGGAACCACAGTTCCGGAGAATTTGACGTAAATACGTCTATACGGAAAGGAAGTTTATATATTGGTTTTATTCTAAATATTTCCTTTATACATGCTTTACAATTGAGATAAGTTTGATTAAGACATTGCTTATTTAA